AGGGAGTGCGGCTATCTTCTGGTCGCTTTGGAAATGTAGAAATGACATTATATTCAGAACAAAAAAAGATTCATGATCCAATGTTTTTTATCCGGTTGATCTATAACTGGATTGTGGATTGGTCAATCTTGCAGAAAAAAAAGCTGGAAAAAAGACTAATGCAGCTGGGAGCAAAGCTAATCGAGCAGGTGGCAAGTGAGGTATACAAGGCGACGCAACGGTGGAGACTGGCTGTTCGTCGTCTGGAGGCCTGATCAGCGAAGAACTGGCCTTCCACTTCTTCTATGTTGGCTTGTAATCTTAAAACTTGCTTTTAATAACTAGTTGGTTTGGCGATGGATGCAAGCAATGCTGTTCTGTTCCTGTGTTGATCGGGTGCAGGGGTAGTAGGTAGCTTCGCTGGAATTGTGTGATTTGGCCTGGTGCGCAGGCCCGGCCCATAGGCCGGGCAAACGGGGCGCCCGCCCTGGGCCCCGAGGAGGCAGGGCCCCCGGCCCAAATAGTATACCTTCATGAAGCCCAAAGAAAATACACGATTTTTTTCCAAGGAACCGTGCAAGGAAAAGCCCATTAGGCAAACCTCACGAAGGAATTCATCGATAATCAATCTGTTTGCACTGGACCCCAGACCCGCGACTCCTCTGCTTCGCCAAATCCCAAACTCGGCGTCCCCGCTCCGATTCCAAAGTCGTGGTCAGTCATCAATGGATATCTACGGCGCAAATCATTCCCCAATCAGCTCTCCTTCGTTTCTCAACGCTCTCGCCGTTTCCTAGACTTTGGTCGACCAGGAAAGTACATGTTCTTCTTTCCTATAATCTCGTTCTTCAATTCAAAGATTCGTTGATAAATAGCTCTACGCATGATTCAAACATCGCAGATCCGCTAATCTCCATGGATTTTCTTCCGCTCTTCATTGGATCCAAATGTCAGAGGGCTCAGGCAGTAGTCTAGGAGAAGGGAGAAATTTCATCCACTTCATGGTGTCATCTTCTTTGTTCGTGCTGACTACTGCGGCGTACGGATCAAGGCATCTACATCCACATCAATCAATATCCAGGTGCTTTTGATCCCTGTATTAACCATTTTTTGTGCAGCTTGTTTACTGACTTGTCTTCAAGAATTACTAGTAGTATAATCTCAAAAGGGACAATTACTGTTAACTTTTACAAAACTAGAATTCTTCTAGGGAATCTCCATTTGTCATCATAGTATTAACATGAAATACACAGTTTGCTTTGCTATGCCGTATGTAGGATAGTTTGGAAGAGGTGAATTATTATTTGGGTGATAAATTTTTGGGTACCAGAACATGGCAGATTGGGGGAGGATCCAGAACATATGTACATGGTAACATAAATGATTAAGTAGCAACCAGTTTTTACAAGGTTATTTGTTGTGCCAAAAAATTGATGTCTCTATTGACAATTAGGAAATCGATATTTTGTGGAGCTATATTATTTCATTACTATCCCGATGCATTTCTCTTGATTGATAAATAGTGGTACTGCCAGTCTTAGAGTCGAAAGATCACCAATCTATGCTATATACTGGATATCCATATTACATTACTTTTGAAAAGAAAAACTGAGCTTTTAGTATGTCTCAAGAAGGGCCCCTTATTCTTTTATTGCCCTGGGGCCCCGTATATCCATGGGACGGCCCTGCTGGTGCGTTGTAAGACTCCAGAATTCGGTCCGCTTTTGGTTTCATTAACGAAATCGGAGGGAAACCTCTTTTATATTAAAAAAAACAAGTATCTAATGTAATACTTGTGGTATGTGTATTCACATATATGTTCGTTGCTAACATGACAGCTACGAACACTTATGGCTACGAAACTGTAACCTAGTAATTGTGGCGATAAGTAGTCGTCAAACAAAATGAAATCTTGTCTTGAAGCCCTTGTAGAGACGAAGAAAGATCACTAACCGAATTCACAGCTTGCAACATAAATCATTTTGAATTTTAGATTTAGCATGCAATGCTGACGATGACAGCATATGCATGGGGATGAAATTTCCAAGCATGCATACACTTACTTTGACACGTATGCTACTTAGATTTTTTTTCCATTTTATTGAGAGAATATGGGCAGAGAAAAATAGCATTATGCACGATAGGTGCGACTACTTTGCATCCTTGAGTGAGCAGAGTAAATCGTACGAGAAAATCTCAACGGAGTATTGACGTCCATGCAGAACGTACGAGAGGGCAGACCTGGTACATGGACTCGGGAAACCCGGAGAAGTCGTGTATGGTGTCGTTGATGCCGGGAACGACGTTGACCGCCGGCATGGCCGTCTCCCAGTGGGCCGATACCACCAGGATGGCGCGCGGCGGCTGCGCGCCCGCGACCGCCACGGGCAGCCAGGACTTGAAGAAGCTCCACGCCGGGATCGTCTCGTCGACGCAGAGCGTGGGGCCGCCGTGCGATAGGAAGAAGGTGGCCATGGCGGCCGCAGACGATGGCGTGCCTCGTCTAGTTTGGGGGCGCGCGGCTTCACTGTGCCGTGAACACACACAGCAGCCGGCAGGAGCGCCTTTTCTTATACGGGCGCCGCGAGCATGGTTGTTGTGACTTGCGTCTCAGGCTAGTTTTTTTTAGACATTCTCGTGTGTCGCGTGGGATGTGACCGCTGAACGAACAAATGATTGGATGTTCTCAGTCGTTAAGCATCTCCAGTTAACGATGTATATTTTGATGCTTCAAACCAACGATAGTTCAAGTTTGAAGCACAAAAAGTGTTTTTTACATCTTCGAAATAGGCTCAATTTCAACGGATGGTCCAAAACGAGATGTAAATAAAAGAGCAACCTCAACAGATGATCCAAAACGAAGATGCAAAACCGCCCGACGGCCGTGCGGTTGCTGTTCACCCACTGTACAGCCGCGGTTTTGCATTCAAATATCTTGAAATTTGAAATAAAGTGCACCATCATCATAGTTGAAATCATAACAAAACTGCATCATTATCATCATAGTCTGAAATCCCTCTATAAAAAATGCAACATCCCAATCAAAGTTTTTCGGCCTACAAATTAAAATACATATGAATATCATTCATGTGGGTCATCAACACCACCGGCGTTGTGAACCGTGGTACGATCATCATCATCACCGGCTTCTTTGTCGACGTTGTGAAGCGGTGAAGTATCGTTGCCGAGAGCACGACCGGAAGCACCTTCATTGCCACCCATGTCGGTCATGTTGCCGCCATAGCCACCTCCATAGCCACCCATCGTGTTGCCGCCAAAGCCACCTCCCATGCCAGTCATGTTGCCTCCAAAGCCACCTCCCATGCCAGCAAAGCCACCTTCCATGTTGCCACCGAAGCCATCTCCCATATTTCCGCCAAATGCACCATTCATGGCACCTCCCATCATGTTCATGTAGCCACCCATGGCACCTCCCATGCCTCCTCCCATGGCACCTCCCATACCTCCTCCTCAATATCACATTCAATTTGAAACAACAAACGAGAGCACAAAATATATTTTTTACCTTTGCAATATAGCATCGAACATGTTGGAGGCAGTGGCCGTCGGCGTAGCCACATCTTCCTCCACGGCCAACGCTGGCGGCGGCGGAGGTGGAGGAATGGCTCCTTGGCTGCTCGAGGACGCTGCCGGCCGTGGCTTCGAGTCGGCGGCCCGAGCCACCGCTGCCTTCGAGATTTTGGCCGGCTGAGCCGCACTTTCAGCTGGGTTCCGGGCGCGATTCACCGGCCGTTTGCCTCCGCCTCGTGCCTTCATCGCCTTCGTAGGAACCATCGGTGTGGTGGCGGCCGGCCGGGGCGGCGGGAGGGGGGCAGCGGCATGGACGCGGCGACGGAGGGCGAGTTCGCCGCGGTGGCAACGGAGGCGGCGACGTGCGTCAGCCCATCGACTGCGGCGAAAGCGGCGGGGTCGCCGGCTTCGGCCATGGCGGGGGCGGACGGGCGGGTCGCGAATGGGCGGTCGCAAGTGGGAAGGCAAATGAACTTGCGGTTGGTCGTTTCGTGGGCGGCCGTGATTTTACAGTACTTGTATTTCGTGATGTAAATTTGTATCACGAAGTTTTCAATTTTATATCTCCGGACGACGGTGATGTAATTCTTTTTTACATTTATACCATCTGTTGGAGCAGCGCCTTTTGCTTTCAAAGCTTCAAAAATTGGTTATTTTTATATATGAACCATCTATTGGAGATGCTCTTACACGGTTACATGCGTTCATTTGATCTGTGGCCGAAACGGCCTAATTCATATTTTTTTTACGTTAAAACGGCCTGCTTCCTATGCGTACTGTTGTAGCTTTTCTGGACTTTTTTGGAACGAAAATACCAAAAATGGCCATCCGATTGTAGTGATTTTTTTATGTAGAAAGGAAAAGGTTCCACTAAACCATCCGGTACTTTTTTTAGCACGCCATCTAGTACTTCTGTTTCCCCATTGTGCCGATTCGTAGGTGTCGTCGCGGCCACATAACAACCCTTTACAGAGACGAGCAATGATATGTTGAGGGCATTTATAGGTGTCGCTTTTCTTTGCTGCTGGTTAAGTGCAGTCCTTAATCTTCCGCGGGCAGCATACAATCAGAGAAAGAAGAAGGCTAGTATTATTTTTAATTTAATTTTACTTTTTATTGGTCATTTTAGGTCCATTTGTCTATTCATTGCACTGACCTTTGTTTTCCTTAATATTAATCAAATCTAAGATGCCCTTTAACGTCTTTATTTAAAAAAATAAAATTAAGAATCCTTTTTCATCCTAATTCGTTGACTCAAGCAAACAGAATTGTGTCCAAACCTCTTTGTGTGTGAAAGGCTCTAAGACCATATATTAAATATCAAAGATACATATTACAAAAAAGAAAATTACACCTAAATTCTTGGGGTCTCAAAATCTTCTTCCTCCTGCATTCACTCATTCATGCAATGGGTGTATTGAAATAAAATTGAAGCTTACACAAATTTAAAGGTTATTCGTTTCGTTAGATTAGAACGGTGTACATAGCTAAATTGAAAAGGATGAAGCATTAATGTCCAAGATAAGGGCATGTATAACAACCCAGAGGCCATGACAAAGCACAAGCAGCTCATGTAATGAATGATCCATGCAAGCCATCTCAGTCCCAAGGTGATTCATGACCATTTCTAGTAGTTTTTTTCCTTGAATTAAAAGGTTTCCCACCAATTTCATTTCTGAATGAAACTGGTAACACAACCGGCCAGGACTGCATCCCTAATACGCTTCCATAGTTTGATTACATGGCAAACACAAAATAAATGCCCCAAATAATCAACTCTACTTGATGATATCACAGGCATAACAAGATACTATGGACGACATAAGCTAAAATAGTTCTGAATTGAATCACCATTTTACATCCACAAGAACCACAACATCAAAAATATAAATTCCACTTCCTCGTCAACATAACCTTGTCCTCAGGAGATTCATCTAGATTAGTTTCCATCCATTGTTGTAATACTTGAGATTATAGAACATTACAAGGAATGGCATAGGGTTCTTTACCCACCTCAGAGAGGCCCAACCAAACATAGGTGCATGGAGAGTCTCATCTCCGTGAC